CCCACATCCACACCCCACCCACACCCACACCCCACACCCACACCCTTGATTCTTATTCTGTTAAAACTTTATTGCATTATTAAAACAATGTATCGATTCCGACGATGAAATTCTTCGTGGGCATACTAAATATGGACCAGAGAACGTGTTTTGCCCATCAATAAAAACTTTACTCATTTTTCCCATCATTTTTTTCTGACGCAAGCGACATTTGCTCATTGGTCTAAAAATCCTGACTACGTCAGTGCACACCCATACTCACACCCTGCATGCTCTCTTATTCAATCTATGTGAGTTTTTGTATGTTTATTCATTTGTGATGCATTAATGGTTATGCACGTGGAAAGCATGATGCAGGAAAAAGAAAAAGCAGTTCAAAGTATAAATTTTGATTATGAAAAGAGAAATTTTTTTTTTCCTTCCTTTCGCATCGTAGAAAATGTTTGTTTGAGTATTACTGATGCTGATATATGTCATGTTTCTCTATAGAAACAAGAAGACACGTTTATAAATAAATGTTGAAAACCAACGAATTGTATTGATTCACAATGTTAGTAAGCTGTTTAAATAGTTACTTAGTCCAGCTAAGTATAAAATTTATGAGTATATCGGCTAGCTTTCGTTGTCTACAGGAGAAGTGATTTAAAAAAAAAGAGAACCGAAGTTTTTCTATATACGATAATCTGTCTTGCACAATAAGGTTTGTTTCTTCTAAGCCAAGAGCATATTATTCATCATTATGATGTCTTTTAGCTTTGGATTTAATCATATCAATATGTCATTCGTACGCGAATCATACTTCTCGGAACAACTAGATCCTAAAGAATATGAAAATCTCGAAGATCTTACAATTGTTTGGTTTGATAAGACCGTTAATCAATCGGATGATTGTATTCAATTTCAATCACGCTTACGCCATATAATTAATTATCTTGTAGTTTTTGATGACTTCACTGAATGTGAAAATTATCTATTATTAGTAGAGCAAGAAAAAATTTTTCTCATTGTATCTGGAACTAACGGTGAATCATTGATTAGTAAAATTCATCATTTATCGAAAATTAATTCTATTTATGTATTTTGTTTTAAAGTAAGTCATCATGAAGAATGGACAAAAAATTATGATAAAATTCGTGGTATATATGATAATAAGGATGAATTATTAAGAATACTGACAGAAAATGCACGCGTATGTTTATTAGAAATATTACCAATGAGAGCATTAGGAATAAAAGCAATGCAAAAAACCATTAAAGAACTTAATGAAGAAGGGGGATTATTTATTTGGTCACATTTTTTAATTTATATCTTATGTAATATGCAGCATGACGATAGTGCTAAGAAAAATTTATTAGATATATCCCGACAACAATACATTGGTAATAATGAAGAATTATCAAAAATTGCTGATTTTGAAGCGAATTATACTGCTGATAAAGCAATTTGGTGGTATACAAGAAATTCATTTCTTTATCGACTACTAAATAGAGCTTTGCGAACTGAAAATTTCGATGTTATTTACAAATTTCGTTCATTTATTGCTGATCTGCATCAACAACTCAAAAGAATGCATCCAGCATATGTTGATAGAATATTTTCATCTGAAGATACGCAAATATTTTATGTCTATCGTGGACAACGTTTATTCAGCAAGGATTTTGAAAAACTAAAACAAAATATAAATGGATTCGTTTCAATGAACACATTTTTATCAACAACAACTCAATCCAGTGTTGCTTTAATCTATAGTGGTAATGGTGAAGGTAGACCATTATTTGAATCAGTTTTATTTGAAATCGAAATAGAACAACCGTATTCAACAGAACCATTTACTGATATATGTCCAGTAAGTTTTTTCAAAAATGAACATGAAGTTCTTTTTACAATTGGATGTATTTTTCGAATTAACTCAATATACGATTTAACTTCAACTATTTGGATTATTAATTTATCATTAGTTACATATAATGATAAAGATGTGGGTAGATTGTCACAGTTTCTAAGAGAATCTGTGAATTTGAAACCTACATTTAAAGATTTGATTTATATTTTTTTACACATGCATGATTACCAGCGAGTCGTACGTTATAGTAAGATATTACTAGAACAATCATCGATTACAGATGACGATCGTGTAGATATTTATCTGACGTTAGGAGACGCTGAATTACATATCAATGGTGATTTTATTAAAGCAGAGAAGTGCTTTATGGATGTTCAACAAATAGCATTGGCAACATCACCATGCAATTATCATATTCTTGTACTTTTCTATGAAAGTATGGCGTTACTGCAGATCGAAAAAAATAATTATACTATTGCATTAGAATTACTTTCTAAAGTTCTGGATATAGCATTGGATTATTCATTTGAATCGAATATAATTATTCGTACATATTCTAATTTAGGATTGGTATATCGAAAAATATTGAATTTTGATCGTGCATGTGAAAACTATGAGCTAGCATTAAATATTATAACACAATCAAATACACTACCTAAACTGCATCCGCTTCATCCTGTCATACACAATAATCTCGCTTACACTAAACAGCTACAAAATGACTATGACGAAGCCTTGAAGCATTATGATCTGGCCCTTGAAATAGAACGAAAATCATTACCATCAATCCATTCTATTACAGCAACAACATTGTGTAATATAGGACTACTATATACGATGAAACGTGAAAATGAAAAAGCGTTGGATACGTATCAAAAAGTTCTTGTTATGGTCAATGAAATCTTCGGTGACGATCATCCCCGTTTAGGAGTAGTATTTCATAATCTTGGAGATTTGTTTTTAAGAACAGGGCAATATGAACAAGCTAAAGAGTATTTGAATAAAGCCCTAAAAATTCGATTAAATAGTCCAGACGTTGATGCTGATGATCGTGCTGCAACTTTTACTAGTCTCGGTTTGGTAAATTTACGACTGGGTTCATTCAATAAAAGTCTTTACTATTGTTTTCAAGCATTATATATTCGATCGAAAATTCCAGAAACAGCGACAAACAATATTTTCGATACTTACAGCGTATTAGCCAGATATTATCTGTCTAAAAGTGATTATTGTCAAGCATTACGTTATTGTGAACTAGCGCAATACCGATGTCCATACAAGTCTATTAAATTAGTTTCAGTTCATCAAGTGTTTGGTGATGTATTGTATCAGATGGAACAATTCGACGAAGCGATTTCACATTATCAAACATCGATTGATATACAATTACAGTTAGCAGGTCGAAATAATGTTTGTCTTGCTGAATTATACCTAAGTATTGGTATAGTATACGGAAGCAAGGAAGAAATCAATGAAGCGCTAAAGTGCTTTGTAAAAGGACGCAGTTTAGCATTCGAAGATTCAAGCCTAATGGCAAATTTACATCAAGCAACAGCAGATATTTATCTCGAGTTAAAACAATTTGACAAAGTGGTAGAGCATTTAGATCAAGTGAAAATGCACTGTGATAAACTAGCTCTTAATAAAAGTATTCCTGTTGCAAAAATGTCACGCACAATTGGTATTCTAAACTTAAAAAAGGGCAATTTCGATGATGCTAGAACAAATTTAATGGAAGCGCTAATGATTTTTGAAAAAGAATCATCAGAATTTCAATTAATTATCGCCGATACTTATTTGCACCTCGGCTGTGCATGCGAAAAACTGAACAAAATTGATCAAGCTCTTGAAATATTTGAGAAAGTCAAAACAATGAATTCGATTATCTATCCGAAGAATCATTCTTATATGGCTGGTATTTATCATCGACTTAGCGTTCTCTTACTAGACAAGAATTTATTGCAAGAATCTTTAACAAACGCTGAACATGCATTAGAGGCAGCAAAAAGTTCATATTCAATAAACTATAATGAATTGGCTCGTATTCATGATACTCTCACAAGGATTCATTTAAAAAGAAAAGATTTTGCCCGCGCGCACTTAGAAATTCAGAATGGTTTTGCTACACGACAAATGCGTTGTCCAAATGACTTACCGTTATCTCAGATCCATTTAGCCAATGCATATACTCATGAAAATCGTACAAAAGAAGCAATTGATCTCTTAAACGACATTCATGAGGATCAGCTGTTATCTGTTCATCATTACACTTCAGCACAATTAAGCAAGGATATGGCCGCAGCTTATTACAATTTAAAACAATATGAATCAGCTCTACGAATACTTCAGTTTACATTAAGTCATATTACTGATGGTGAACATTACTTAGAAGCTGAAGCTCATTTCTTGATGGGAACCATTTGCTGGAAACTTGGTGATAAGCCTCAAACACTTGAACATCTTCAACAAGCTTTAATAGTGTTAGACAAAAAGAATACCCAGGTCGTTCATGCCCGGCCGTAAACGGCCGTACACCAATCATTTACGACGAAAAACGACAGCAGTTTACCGTGACCATTTACGACAGTCATATACGACGTTTTACGGCGTATTACGTTAATCGTAAACAATGACCGTAAACGTTCGTCTTTTACAACAACCGTAAAAATACGGCGACAGTAAACGATGCTCGGATAATATCGTAACATATCGCAAACGGCAGTCGTATACAGTGACCGTTTACGGCAATCATATACGATGCTTTACAGCGTATTACGCTCATCGTAAAGAATGACCGTAAACGTTAGCCGTTTACGATTACTGTAATAATGCGGCGACTGTAAACGACACTCGGGTTATACCATAAGATGTTGTGAGCGCCAGCTGTAAACGGTGTGATCTAAGATCATCGTTTTTTATTGTAGTGTCCTTGCACAGTTGTTAACGACGACGAACTACTTTTCTTAGACATAGTGGCAAAATCAGAACTTCGCTTCTAGAAGAACCGAAATTTGAAGCACTTTTTTTCAAATCTATCAAAAATAGTACAAATTTTCATAAAAGAATCTGAGATCGACACCGTCCCTTGCCTTGTAAAATTCTCTTCAGATATACATTCTTTAGATTTTTATCAATAAATCAACAAATTTCCAATTGTTAATTTTCGGATTTCGTTTAAAAAATTTTCTGTCCACATGAAGAGTATTTTACGATTTTGTATTAAGTGTATTAAGTGTGGAAAATGATCACTCTAGAAACAGTATGCTGAATATTGTTGTATTGGGTCTCTCAATTGAGGCAGATTTGTGTAAGATTGCAACTGAAATGTTTAATTAGCAGTATCTCTTGTATCTCTTGAATAACTGGTAAAAAAGACTGCGAAAGTGGATTTTGCTTTGCTCAGTGCGCATCAGCTAGACATAATGTTTCTCAAAATCAAATTTGACAGATTCTCCTATCTGAAATTGAATTTGCAGGATGAACTGCACGTACATGAACTGAACTATAATACCAAAGATCCACGAAATCCATGTTGTTCTATGTAAAACCCATGTAAAAAAATTTTGATGAAAAGTCAGATTAAAACCGATTTTTCGATTAATAATCGAATTTTGATAGATTATAATGACGTTATTTTTAATTTGATTTTAATATGATATCTGAATCTAAATGATGGATGGGATTTGATAATAATTATTTTTAATTTATTTTAATCGATTGTTAAAATTGTATAAATGACTATTCGATTGTTAATCTGACTTTTCGTCAAAACCTTTTATATAGTTACAATAAGTGGCTAATAATAGATAAAATCACAATAACAGACATGAGATCCTATTTGTGTTACTATTTGATTCAACAGATTTCTTTCTAGATACGATCAAATTGTCAATAAAGGCATTCTCTATTTACGCAACTTAAATTTACTCATACCATTTTAAACTCGAGACTAAATAATTCTTTATGTTAACATACTTTCTCATAAGATTTGACTCTTTTTTTAACATACCTAAAGTTAGCACCAGATTCGTATTTTTCTGGTCCGGATGCGCCTGTAGAGCTGCGCTGGCTCCATAAATGATTGTGTTAGGTGCAGAATTTAATTCTCTATCGTATGGTACCATTTCTGAATGGGATTATCGGGTGAAAATAGGGGTCTTCTTCAAAAATACTGATATTATCCACACAGGGTAATTTCACAATGAGGGTGCCGGTGACGGGCAGGATGAGACGGTGAAAGTGATGATGAGCATAGTTACTGTCGAAAGAAGCTAACATTAACGTCGACCTCATCATTACCCTTACCTCTAGCCATTCTCTCCCTTACCCGCACCCTCACTCTAGAGTGGTTAGCGAGGGATAAAATTCTCGAAATTCTATAAATCTCAAAGTGGATTCTCCGAAATCAATGCATCTATAATTCGGTGAAAGAAGCGAATGCCGCAAGTATTATGCTACCAACAATTGGTATTTCGTTGCACAAGTTTTGAAAGCTATCATTGAAACTTCGTTTTCATCGTTTCCATTACCATAATATATGTCTCATATACACATATTACATTTTGCTATTGAAATGCTTTTTGGTAATTTCCTTTTCATCGTTGCACCATAAAGAACCTAAACCAAAACATTACTAACAATATCAAGAAAAAAAAAGAAAAAATAAACTAAATATTATTTGACAGTCTCCACAATAAAAATTATAAACGAAATCAACTTTTCCCAATGAATCTTTAGTCCTGTTCCACTGAATAGAAGTGTGATTAATTTAACGAGAATCAAGGTTTCATGCAGAAAAACAGCATTTATCACTTATCTTCAAAACTTCCGAAAACTATTTCCGACGCAAAGTGAATCACCATGTCGAAACTACCATATACATGAGAATCTAACCTCATGATTCATGAAACAGCATTTTTATGAACGTGCAGCTTGTTTTCAACATAGATAACACAAAGACGTGGAAAAGCTCTCAGCTTCAAAACTCCGCCTGCCAGTAAGGCAACAAACATATTCCGACTAACAAACGTACCAGAAAATTTATTTTTTTCCACATCAACTCAGCGTACTAAACTCAGATTCATTCATTTGTCAATACCATCATTTAGTACCAGAAACCATATTTCTACCAATACAATGAGTACCACTAAACATCTCATGCAATTTTCATTCAGTATATTCACAAACACTTCCGAAAAAGTTATTCACATCATTCAAGGTATTAGAACCACAACACAAAAAGTATATTCCGAAACATCAGGACAAGTGAAAGACGTCACTCTACAAAAACTAGAAAAACAACATTCACATCCCAGTTCTTCGTTCCAATAACCAAGGCATAACTCGCTCTACATTCCCATACATACTACTCCTTCATTCCCGTACCGTCATTGCTTTGAATTCGCAGCAATATGTTCACTGAATTCCATCCTATCTACTCCACATAAGTATCAATCGGAGCCCAACTTACGATCCGAAAAGGTAACCACAAAAAATCCGCATCATGATTCCCTAGTTAACGACAGACATACTGTTCACGAAAAATTCTGATTTCGAAATCCAAATTTCTTGAAGATTTCTGGTCAAGCAACCATTCACCGATTTGTTTAGTAGCAACAGCTCTATATATACCAGGATTTACTTTCCCACTCAACCATACTCTTCGTCTTTCCTCTGGAAAAATCCCACTTTTGAAATCTGGATTTCTTGCAAGATTTCTGGTCGAGTATTCATTCACCGATTTGTTTAGCAGTAATAGCTCTATATATACTAGGATCTACTTTCTCACTCAACCATACTCTTCGTCTTTCCTCTCGAATAATCCCACTTTTGAAATCTGGATTTCCTGTAAGATTTCTGGTCGAGTATTCATTCACCGATTTGTTTCCCAGTAATAACTCTATATATACCAGGATCTACTTTCTCACTCAACCATACTCTTCGTCTTTCCTCTCGAATAATCC